GTGCGCTCGCCAGATAGAGAGAGAGAGAGAGAGAGAGAGACATAGAGACAGAAAGCGAGAAATCACCCCCCAGAGGGGGTGGTCACGCTGCAATCCCTGGTTCCCAAATTTCAATTTCTTAAAAACAAAGGAACCAGGGAACCAGCAGTTAGCGTAATGGCTATGTCGCTGGACTCCCACGTAGTCGACCACGGTTCACGTCCTGGACCCGGTGGCTTAAAACTCATGCCGGGCGCGTGTGCATGCGTGCCCAAGATCCCGAGAGGAGAATGGAGGAGAAGGGATTGTGGCATGACCATCCCCCCGGGGGGTGATTTCTCGCTTTCTGTCTCTATGTCTCTGTCTAGCAAGCGCACGCGCCCCATAGCAAAAACCTCTCCAAAAAAAAAAAAAAAAACCAAAAAAACAAAGGAACCAGTACTTGTGAACCAATTTCAATAAAAACATTTTTAAGTATAATCATATAATTTTAGGGGGAAAAAAAGGGAGGGAGACATGCATAGACAAACAAACAAAAAAATCTTTTAATGTTTGCATTCTAATATTAATATCACCATTCTTGTCTTTTTCAACTATATTAACTATAGGTCTTCAGACTATTACTGAGTCAAATGAACAGAATCTCCCTGAAGAAAGGACTATGCTTCTGTTAAGTCCCCATCGCCAGATCCACATTTTATGAACATAATTTGATTACTAACCTCATCTGAATCCAGAAGGGCTGGAAGTGCTCTACAGAAAGAGGGAAATAATAAATTAAACAATGTAAAATAAAGCTATAAATGATTTCTAAAAGACAACAGAATATGAATGCTATTTAAGACTTTTTTGTAATTACTTGAAACCTCCATCTTACTAATGAATGGCCCTTTCGGGACAAAAAGGAATATAATAAACAATCAAAGTTACTGGAACTAATCGATAAAAACAAAGCATATTCTGTAAATATTTCATTAAAATTATGGCCTGGAAGCCAGCAGGTGGTGGTGAGGTGGTTAAAGGCTCTAGACTCCCACATGTCCAACCTCTGTTCCAAGTCCCAGATGTGGCAGCCTGTTTTCTCATTTTCCCTCTCTCTCTAGTGAGTATATGTGCCCTACAGTAAATTTGAAGAAAAAAAAAAAAACTAATAAATAAAATTAAATAATTCTTTTGGGACCAGCAGATGGCATAATGTTACATCATTGGACTCCCACAAAGTCGACCGTGGTTCAAGTCCTAGGTGTAGCAGCTTAAATCTCACGCCAGGCACATGTGTCTGCGTGCCCAGGATCATGAAAGGAGAATGGAGAAGGAAGTGCAGTGTCACCATCCCCCATGGGGGGTGATTTCTCTCTTTCTGTATGTCTCTTTGGCAAGTGCACACACGCTTATAGCAAAAATCTCTCTTAAAAAAAAATTATTTTAAAAAGATAATTACAGGACCAGCAGATGGCATAATGGCTACTTCACTGGACTCCCATGTAATCGACTGTGGTTCAAATCCTGAACCCAGTGGCTTAACTCAAGCCAGGTGCGTGTGCGTGCATGCTCAAGATCCCAAGAGGAGAATGGAGAAGAAGAGATTACAGCATGGGCATCCCCCCAGGGGGTGATTTCTCACTTTCTGTTACTCTGCCTCTCTCTTTCTGGCGAGTGCACGTGCCATATAGCAAAAACCTCTCCAAAAAAAAAAGAAAAAAGATAATTAAAAAGTAAAAATCCTAGAAATAACTGAAAAGTCTCAAAAGGAGAGGCTAGCAAGTGGCATGGTGGCTAAAACGCTGGACTCCCAAATGGTCGACTATAGTTCGAGTCCTAGACCTACAGGCTTGAAAATCATACCAGGCACGTATGCATGCATGTCTAAAATCCCAAGAGAAGAACAGAGGACAAGGGACTGCAGCATGTCCATCCCCTCACTTTCCTTCTCACTGTTTGTCTCTCTCCAGCGAGCGCACATGCCCTACAGCAAAAAACCAAAACCAAAACCAAAAACAAACCCATCTCCAAAGATTATCCCACTCACTTTAGGAAGATCTACAGATAAATCTTTCTAAGAAATGTCATCTGAATGAATCCCAATTATTTATTTGCATATTATCCTAATCTTATAGTAAGATTTCAACATCTTATAGTCTCCTTAGTATGTTCTTCAGCTCATTTATTTAAAATAATAAAAATGTAGTTGTAACTTTAAAATCAGATTCTTGTGGTAATGGCTTAAACACTTACACATCTGTCACAGAAGAAGGAACATTCTCTTCTACCCACTTCAAATCATCTTCCTGCTGGAAATGTACAAATATCATGTTAGTAAAATGCACCATAAAATACACTCTCAAGTAGTATCTAAAGGTCTTAAAATCCTTAAGACCTTTGTAACCCTACAGTATATTCACATGGCAAATGGAACTGCTGACAAAAAAATACAAATAATTAAAAGACATTTTAATACCTTTGACCAACACCTTTTCAGTTTCCTCTGGCAATTATCACTCTGTCCCCTGCTTCTGAGTTCAAAGTTTTTAAATTCCACTTCTAAGTAAGATCATGTGTTGTTTTTCCATTCCTGACTTATTTCAGTTAATATAATGTCTTCCAGGTACATTCATATTATTTAAAATGACAGGATTTCTAGGACTAGCAGATGGTGTAATGGTTATGTTGCTGGACTCCCACGTAGTTGACTGCAGTTTGAGTTCCAAACCTAGTGGCTTCAAACTCATGCTGGGCACATGTGTGTACATGCCCAAAATCCTGAGAGGAGAATAGAGGAGAAGGGATTGCGGTGTGGCCATCACCCCATGGGGTGATTTCTCACTGTCTCTCCAGTGAGCACATGCATCCTATAACAAAAATCTCTTTATAAAAATAGATAAATAGAATAAAATGACAAGATTTCAGGGTTAGCAGGTGGCATGTTGGTTAGGGCATCTGGATCCCACATGACTGACTCCACAGTTTAAGACTCAAACCCAAAAGCTTTAAAACTATGCTGGGAGTGCATGTACACATGCCCAAAATCCCAAGAGGAGGAAGAACAAACAAACTGTGCTGTGACTATGCCTCTTGTGGGATGATTTTTCATTTTCCTTCTCCCCCCTCTCTCTCTCCAGCAAGTACACATGTCCTAAGACAATAATCTAGGGGGGGGGGGGGAAGGATATCCTTTGTCATTAAAGTTTGAATAGTATTTCACTGTGGATGGCTCCTGAGAACTAGTGATTTCAGGGAAAAAAGAAACGAAGATTTTCTACTGATAGTTCAGCCTCCAGCCTACAAACTCAAGTGGTAGGAACTACTGCGAGCCTTCTCTCCGCCTCTACTTCTCTCTATCTCTGTCTCTGTCTTCTCATTTTTTTGTAATTTTTCCCTTTTTAAAAATGTTTAAGGAAAAGCATTTTCTCAGCTTTTAGCCCCTCCTTTGCCTTTATCTTGTTAGTAATCCCCTCACCTTCTCCCAGCCCAGGAGAGGCAAGGGAACAGGCCTTCAGAAGACACCTTCATGGCTCCTGAGAACTAGTGATTTTGCACAGCACGTGCAGCACAGTTTTCTAATTTTTGCTTTTTTTTTTTTTTTTAATAATCCTTTTTATGCTTTTTAAAAGTTTTTTCCTTCTCTTTCTTTCTGTTTCTTGGTTGTTTTAGTTGCTGTTGTTTCTCTCTCTCTGTTTCCTTTACTGCACTCTCCTAGATGCTGAACTTCAAGTTTGGAAAGAAACACACCATCCATCAGATGACTAGAAATCACCACAGGACCACAAGAAATATGAGAAAGCAAGAAAATATCTCTCCTCCAAGGGAAAAGAATAACTCCTCTTCATTCACACACAGTTCAATGGAAATCATGGAAATGTCTGATAAAGAATTTAGAAATTCATAATGATGAAGCTAAAAGAGATGGAAGTAAAGAGAGATAATGAACTGCAGAAGAGACAGGAGAAAGGAGCTGACAAGTTCCAGGAGGGATTTTGGACACATATGCACATGTGCCCAGTGTGAGTTTCAAGCCATCATGGCTTGTGGTTAGCTATGTGGGCGTCCGGCATTTTGACCACCATGCCACCTGGCGCCCTAAATAATTTTTAAACCACATACCAGAAGTATAATACCCTACACCCTTAAATGTTCTCTTCTCGATTGGTCTAATAACCTAGAGTTTGCTTTAATGGAAGCTTTGAATCTCCAAGCTAAAATAAATTCTAAGCCCCCGTAAGTATACGTTAAGTATACGTTAAGTATAGTGAATGCTCAATTTTTATGTTTGTTTGCTTGTTTGTCTTCTAAAGTTTTGCTATAAGGCACATGTGCTCACTGGAGAGAAACAGAAAAACAGAGCGAGAGGGAAAATGAGAAAGCAACCCCAGGAAGGATGGCCACTCTACAATCCCTTCTGCTCCATTCTCGTCTTGGGATTTTGGGCACACATGCACATGCACCCAGCATGTTTTTCAAGCTGCAGGATCCAAGACTTGAACTACACAGGTGGCTCATGGGAGTTGGCTGCCTTAACCACCATGCCAGCAGTTGGCTCTTTAGTTCTAATAAATCAATCTCCTGACTGAAAAAAATGTTGTACTACTACAAAGGCTTTAGGTTATTAATAGGACTATAACTTCAGTGAAGAAAAGCTATTAAACTCATCTATCAGACTAGTCTAGTACTTTTTCAGACTATGGGAGCAAACCACCTAGTTAAATAGGTTACTAGATCTTAAGACTCACTTGCTAGATTTATTTAGGGAGGGGGGTGTAGTTTGCTATAGTGCATATACACCTGCTAGAGAGAGAGAAGGGAGAGAGAGAAAATGAAAAATCGCTCCCCAATTCTCCTCTTGCCACCTTAAACTTTGTGCCACCTACTCACCCCTTGCTGTTTGTAAAAATATAAATGTAGGGGCCAGCAGGTGGTGTGGTGATTAGCAGCACTGGATTCCCAATGACTGACCACAGTTCGAGTACTAGACCTGGTGGCTTGCTTTCTCACTGTCTGTCTTTCTCTGGTAAGCACAAGTGACCTGTAGCACATTTTTTTAAATACCAATTTAAATAAAATTAAAATAAATAATTCTTAAAGTAAAGAAAAAATGAAAAAAACACAGAGCCAGCAGGTGGCACAGTTGTTAAGGCAATGGACTCCCACATGCCCCACGATGGTTCGAGTCCCAGACCCAAAGGCTTGAAACTCATGCTGGATGTATATGCGTGCATGCCCAGAATCCTAGGAAGAGAATGAAGGAGAAGGGATTGTGGCATGGGTATCCTCCCAAGGGGTGATTTCTCACTTTCTCTCTCACTGTCTCTGCATCTCTCCAGCAAGCACACACAATCTATAGAAAAAACCTAAAAATCAAAAAATACAAATGTAATATATATGAAGAGATTTATAAAGCAAGCCTAATCACAGAGTATGGAGTCAAACATGGGGCAGCAGTAACATAAGATACACTGTGAGGCAATTTCACAAGGAAAGGTTCCAGGTTCACATCAGGAGACGACCCTCTGAGTATGCTGGCCATGCGTATGCTCGAGATCCAGGGCTGGGATAGACTGTGGCATCAAGATCCTAATGGGGGTTCTCTGTCTCTATCTCACGTATGGAAAAGAAAAACTAAACTAGAAGGTCTAGACAAGGGCTAGAGAACAGGGCAAAACTGAAAGGAAAAGAAGTCTTACTTACTGCCTTGTTTATTTTACTATTTCCATTTGGTTCTTGTTTGGTACTTCTCATTTTCATTCCTTCTGTACAACAAAAAAAGATTGGTTAATTTTGTCAATAGACCAATGATTGCAAAAATGGATTCAGGAGCTTTGTTTTAAGCTTACTGACACTGTGAATTATACAACAGATGTTTTTCCATCTTTACATTCATGCCCAAAGCTAAATGTTCTAGCAAGTTAACGTTCAGCTCATTTCTAGTGATTACCTACTGAATTTACCACGCTTAAGATTCACACCCTTATTTTCTCTTCATCCTAATTTCAACACATGCCAAACTGAGAAATAATAGTAAAATAAACCATGTATTTATATGAAAAAAATATTTAAAGCACAAATAAAAGATGAAATTTAGCACTACCAAAGCTTTCTTTCAGCATAGGCTCCTTTTGTTCATCCTCTTCCTCCTCCTCAGACAACGGTGAAAAGGCAAACCTAACAGAACAAAAGTAGAGTGGAAGGAGAAAAAATCAGAAAACTACCAAAACTGCTCTAGGATGTGGATTCTAATGGTTGAAACTGCAATTATAGTAATTTACAAAATTAGTTTCCTGAATAATAAAATAATTCTCCTCCTCAGAAAGTTCTTAATTGCCTTTATCAGCAATGGAGAAGACACGTTGTATTTTTAAGTGCAGCCTCAGTCACATATTACTCATGCCCTTAGACTAGTTACTTAATCTCTATGCCCCCTAGTTCCCTCATCTGTAAGAGGGGATAATAGAACATAATTTATAAGGCGATTTTGTGAAAATTAAGTCATTAAAAATAAAAGGCTTAGAAAAATACCTGATACATTTAGTTATTCAATAAATGCTCATTTAAAAGGAAATAAATAACACAGAGGAAATTAAGTTCTCATCTAATTTAAAATCTCAGCCTTCGAAATCTGGGAGTTAAGAGAAAATGGATCTAATCTTGTGTGTCTCAGGTTATTTAAAATCTCAGTTTCCAAATGCAGAACATCTCAGATGCCTCTCCTTCAGCGTCTAAGAGACTCAGCAAAGCAGCTGCCAGACAGGTAATTCTTGGAATGCATTAGCTTTGACCTCACTCTGTCCTCTCCATTTTACTGGTAGCTACTATTTTCATGCTGCTTTGTACTTACACTCTGCCTTTTGTGATAAAAACTCTTAATAAGCTACAAATAGAGAATATCTATGACTTGTTAAAGGGTAACTAACAAAATCTGATAGTAAGTAACATAGTTAATGATGGCACTTAAAGTCAGAATAAGATGAGGTGGCCCACTCTCACTGCCTCTTTTCAATATTAAACAAGAGTGTTTCCTCAACATACTACTACAAGATTCAAAAATGAGCCAACAGATTATCAAGCAAGGAAGAAACAGTATTACGATTTCTGTAGGCAAAAAAGTATCTGATAAAAAAATCTAGAAATTAACAGAACACGATAATGTAGGAGGGCTGATGGTTGTGATAAATGCACACAAAAAAACCCCAACATTTATACATAATGGAAAAGCCATATGTAATATTTTTTGAAGCTGCCTTCATTCATAAGAGCCACAACAAATTAAATCAAAAGCTACAACACACAGCTGAAACCCTGACAGGACTAAAAAAAATTTAAGACATACCATATTCAAGAAGAGAACTAATAGAGTTTCCAGGCCAGCAGGTATGGAGTTTAAGGTGCTAGATCCCACATGGAAAATTCCACTGTTTGAGTCCTGGACCCAATGGCTTTAAAAAAATCACACCAAGTGGTGTATATATGCATGTGTGCCCAAAATCTAGCCTGGGGGGCCAGCAGGTGGCATGGAGGTTAAGGTGCTGGATCCCACACAGCCGGCTGCAAGGTTTAGATCCTGGATCCGGAAGCTTGAAAATCAACCTGGACACATGTGCATGCACCCAATATGCCAGGAAGAAGACTATAGGGGAATGAGTGCAGTGTGTCCATTTCCCTGAGGGGTGATTTCTCACTTTCCCTTCATCTTTGTCTCTCTCACTGGTAAAAGAGCACCCTATAGCAAAAACTTAAAAAAAAAGAAAAAAAAGAATCCCAGTAGGAACTAGAGAAGGGATGTGGTGTGGTCATCCCCTCAGGGGGTGATTTCTCACTTTCCCGCTCTCTATCTCTAACAATAATGTAGGAGGGCTGATGCCTTGTAGCATATGACTTGTAGCAAAAAGTAACAACAACAAAAAACCCTAAAATAAATAAATATATACTTCCTTAATTAATCTATTAATTTGATTAAATTCTAACTAGAATTTTAAGATAATCTTAAATAATTTAAGATTTTCATTAAAAAGGATCTAATAGCAGCAAATGCTACTTATTCCATAAAGATTAAATGTAGAAGTATAGACCTTCCAGATATCAAGACTTACCAGGAAATTAAGGTAAGCAGGTAACATGCTACCGATGCTAGATCAGAGAGAGCCCAGAATCTAAAATTTCTTGATGAAAACCTTGATAGTAAAATTTTTAAAAGCTTAAAGGATAACTTTATAACCTCATCTAAGGCCAGGAAACTACCAAAGACACAAAATTTACAATCCATGAAGGAAAAAAGTCATAAAATAGACTTGGTATCTTTCAAATTTTTGTTCATGACAAAACAAAACAAAACAAAACAAAAAACAGCACTAAAAATTTAGGATAATCTTGGACCACAGATGGCATAATGGCTACGTCACTTGGCTTCCACGTAGTTGACCATGGTTCAAGTCCCAGACCTGGTAGCTTAAAACTCATGCCAGGCACATGTGTGTGCATGCCCAAGATCCTGAGAAGAGACTGGAAGAGAATGGATTGTGGCGTGGCCATCCCCCTGGGAGATGATTTCTTGCTTTCTGTCTTTTCAGTAAGTGCACACACCCTATAGCAAAAATCTCTCTTAAAAAACAAAAGTTTAGGATAATCAACTAGATGAAAATACTACAATACTAAGAATGAACACAATGTTGGCAAAAAACTAACCAGTAAACATAAAAGAAATAAAAAAGTAACCACCAGAGTGTTCTTTTTTTTTTAAAGAATTATTTTATTTAACTTTATTTATTTTTAAAATTTTGACCAGAGAGCAACAGAGTGAGAGAGAGAGAGGGGAGAGAAAGCAAACACCAGGTCTAGGATTTGAATCATGGCTGGCCATGTGGGAGTCCAGTGCCCTTAACCACCACACCACCTGCTGGCCCCAAAGTAACACAATATTAATTCTCATCCATCAGATCTGCAAAAAATTAAATGAGTAGGATATAGGAAGAAGAAAAAGGAAAAAACCCTTCTCATATTGCTATCAGAAATACAATTTGGGGGCTGGCAGGCGTTGTGGTGGATAAGGGCGCCGGATTCCCGCATGGTCGACCATGGTACAAGTTCCTGGCGGTTTGCTTTCTGACTTTCCCTCTCTCTTTGGTCAAACTAAAAAAAAAAAAAAAAGCAATTTGTTTCTAGTTTCTTTGGGGAATACAACCTGGAAATATTTTTAAATTATAAATACACATATCTTTAATCTAGCAATCCCAAGCCCCCTCATTAAATACTTATGGAACATCTGCTATATGTTTGTGTGTAATGAAGAATTAATCTTATCCCCCAAAAGACTGGTTTTTGCCCCTGACTACAGGAAAAGTGATCTCTACAGGAAAAGTGATCTCTGCTGTCTGACATAAGTGTTAGTTTGCCTAGATTTTGGCCACTGGACATTCTAAGAGTGTGATTTATGATACGTGCTTTGGCCACAGGATGCCCAAAATCCCAAGAGGAGGATTACGGCATAGTCATCCCCCTGGGGGGGTGATGTTCCACTTTCTCTCTCTCTGTCTCTCTGGTGAGTGCTTGCACCCTATAGCAAAAATCTCCCCCTTCCCTCCACAAAAAGAAAGGAGGAGTGAAGGTTTTGCAAACATTTTTAAGAAAACCAAGGAACGGGACCAGCAGTTAGTGTAATGGCTATGTCACTGGACTCTCATGTAGTCGACCACAGTATGAGTCCCAGACCCGATGGCTTAAACTCACGCCGGGTGCGTGTGTGTGCGTGCCCAAGATCCTGAGAAGAGAATGGAGAAGAGATTACAGCGTGGCCATCCCCCTGGGGGGTGATTTCTTGATTTCTATTTTTTTGTCTCTGTCTTTCTGGCAGGCACACATGCACCCTCTAGCAAAAACCTCTAAAAAAAAAAAAAAAAAAAAAGAAAAAAAGAAAAACAAGGAAGGAGAAATTTTTAAATATCAATATACCTAGTGAGTAATAAGCACCCACTGGGGGTACTTTCTCTTTCACTCTCTTTCTGGCATGTACACATACCTCCTGGCAATAAAAAACGACACGCAGTTTCATAATAATTTGAGATTAGTATTAATAATCTGGACAAATAAAATTAACATGGATTTTTATTTATTTATTTATTTTGGGGGGGGGGTGAGTTTTTTTTTTTTTTTTTTTCTCTATGGCGTATTTTTTTTTTTTTTTTTTGCTATAGGGTGCATGCACTCGCCAGAAAGGCAGAGAGACAGAGGGATAGAAAGCAAGAAATCACTCCGCAGGGGGGATGGTCACGCCACAATCCCTTCTCCTCTCGGGATATTGGGCACGCACGCACCCGTGCTCGGCATGAGTTTAAGCCACTGGGTCCAGGACTCAAACCGCGGACGACTACATGGGAGTCCAGTGACATAGCCATTACGCTAACTGCTGGTCCCTTAACGTGGATTTTTTTCTTTAATTTCCAGAAGGTACATATGTTCACCAGAAGGAGACGGGGTGGGATAAGGCACCTCCCAATGAGGCAGAGTTACCCCACAGTCATTTCTCCTCCATTTCTCTAGTTTATTGGAATTTGGGGCACTCACACTCGCACTTGGCATTTTTTTAAGCCTCAGGGTTGGCCATGTGGGATCCAGATTCCGATGCATGGCTCTTAACCAGTATGCTATTGGCTGACTCCATAATTCCTTAATTTACCCATAGTAAGTATTTATTGGGTCGCTGGAAAAGTCAGGCTGCATTTTTCGTAGAAAAACAGAAAAGTACGCCACGATTTTTCCAACAACTCAATATATTATCAACAAATATGAGGATTCAAAGGAACCTCAACCTTGTATCACTTGGTTTAATTGCCCCTTCATTTTGTGGAAAGGAAACTGCAACCCAGAGAGGTGAAAAAGACAGCATGCCGGCAGCCGCGGGCCGGGAACGGCCTGGCCGGCGCCCCCCCCACTCCATGGGAGGCTTTTTGTTGTAGTGCAAGATAACTCAGCCCTTTCTGCCCCCCAAGCATCCAATATTGTTTTTGTCTGGATGGAAAGCCACTGCTTCTGCAAGCAGAGGAAGAACAAAGTCACATCAGCTGTCATAGCATGGGGTAATATCCATTCAGTCATATTTCCTCCCGAAGCCAAAAAGTTAGCTATGATGGCTATGCTTTTTACAAGGAAATAATGGAGACACAGGAAGGGAAAAAAATGGAATACCATAAAACAGACCTTCTAAGTTCTCTGTCTTAACTGGCTACCAGTGTAAATTGATAATCATAAATGCCTACTTCCACTACCCACTCTATGTCCCCATTGCCTCTGCAAGTATATTTCTTCTGGATAAGGATATTTTTTTATCTGGTAGGGTAACTTGAATCTTCATTCTTCCTTTTCTGACTAGGCTCAAACCCTCAGTCCAGACTATACTGGGCTCTAAGTCTTACTACAAACTTGCTGGGAGGTGTGGATCTGGGGAGAATCAATAATTACTTGTGAGGAAAGGAAGTTTTGTTTGTTCGCGTTGTTTTTTCTACAGGTTTTTGTGTTAGGATGTGTGTGCACTCACTGGAGACAGAGAAAGAGACAGAGACAGTGAGATGGAAGTGAGAAATCACATCCTGGGAGGGGGGGATAACCACTCCACAGACTCTTCTCCATTCTCCTCCTGGGATTTTGGGCATGCACACATACCCAATCACCCAATCACCCAATCACCCTAGCATGATTTTCAGCCCACTAGGTCCAGGACTTGAACCACAGTCAACACATGGGAGTCTAGCAATGTAACCATTAAGCTATCTGCTGGCCCTGGGAAAGAAGTTTTAAAGAAATTCAGAGTGTTAGGTCTTAGCTTCATCCATGTCTACCAAAACGTCCTCATTCAATGAGGCAGGATTTTATTGTGTTAAAAAAATTTTTTTAGATAAACCAAAATTTAACAGTTTATTTGAACAAAGGGTGAGCAATTCAAATCAAGCAGCTTCTCAGAAAATGGTTTCCAGGGGACTCTGGATGGCCTTGTGGTCACAGGAGTAGTATAAGTTTGCCAGAAAAAATTATAATAAAAAATAAACTATAAAAAAAATAAAAAGAGAAGAGGATAGAGAAAGATAGCAAGTGAACAATAGAGGGGATGTTAGTGAGAAACAGATATGGTTTATTATCTGTTGAAGATGACGTGTATAGTATTCTCAACTGGACTGGTCTGGGAAGTATTTCATGATGGGTGAAGTCTTTTAACAAGCAAAATGAGAAATAGTGATTGACTGTTTTAAAAAATTATAATAATAATAATTATTGGGAAATGCATGGAAAAGACTTTGAATGATAAAGCGGGGAGATCGATGCCTCTGTATTGACTGACATGCATGGCATTCCCTTTTGAAAAAGCAATGGAAGTCAATGTAAAGTTATATGTAATCCAATGTAATATAAAGAAGATTATGATAATAATAAAAAAAAATAATAAAAGCAAAAAAAAAAAAAAAAAGACAGCATGCCAAAAATTACAAAGCAATTTAAAATTAAGAGCTGGAAAAGGAACCTGATTTTCCAAACCCAGTAATCCCTCCACTATATGACACAGCTCTGACACTGCCTCCGCAACGAGACACTCCTAACTGATAACTTAGCCATCTAATGGGTAGCAGAATAAGTAAGAGGAGTTTACAAACCTCTGATTGTTTGCAGATGGTCTCCAGAGAACCATGATGACAAAGAGGATCATAGAGAACAGCAACCTCCAGATAGCATCATCCACCCATAGCTCCCGCCAGTCCTACAATTAAGGGGGAAAGTATATTTATATAGATTATCTTAACCCTTGGTTCACAAGGCCTCTGATATAAAGAATCACTTATTTGTTCACTCAAGTTATAATTACTAAGAATCTGCTAAGTGTTAGGCAATGTGCTAGGTATTGGGTATAGAAAGTGAATGAGTGTAGTTTTTGACCCTTTTCTTACTGTTAAAGAAAAGGCACTACTAAATAGAGCCCTTTTCAGGGCTCCATCACGTCTCTGAGAATCTTTAGGGAACAGTAAGAAAAAGTACTGTTTGATTGTTTTAATTTATACTTTTCATTTTCTTCCTTTCTTTTTTAACCAAAATAGGGCCTTTGCTGCCTCCAAAGAAACTGACCGCAGTCTTTGTGCTCAGATCTTCTACTCAGTTTAGCATTATTCTACAGCCTCCATAGGTTTTTGCCATAGGGCGGGCGCCACCACGACCCAGTTTAGCATTATTCACACATAGTGTTCAGTGCTCCAGACAACTTGCTCAAGATTTATAATTAAGGGGAACCAGCAGTTAGCATAATGGCTATGTCGCTGGACTCTCACGTAGTCGACCGCAGTTCGCATCCCGAACCCGGTGGGTTAAAACTCACACCGGGCGCGTGTGCATGCGTGCCCAAGATCCCGATAGGAGAATGGAGGAGAAGGGATTGCGGCATGACCATCCCCCTGGGGGGTGATTTCTCGCTTTCTGTCTCTCTGTCTCTCTCTGTCTGTCAGGCAAGCGCACGTGCCCTATAGCGAAAACCTCTCCAGAAAAAAAAGAAGATTGTTTTATGACAGATTAGTTATCATTTACAAAATCTTCTTCCATTATTGGGATATATAGTCAGATAAAACAAATGAATACTAAGCCTTCTGTTACATACTGTCATACCAATTGCCATGATAGTACAGAATACTTAGGAGGGAGGAAGTATTATTACCTTCAGAGTAAAGACCAAACCTGAATTTCATATAAGGTGCAGACCTTACAAGAACCTTACCATTGTCATCAACATCATTTTCTGTGAATAAGACAGTACACTCTTCATACATGTATATGATTTTAACTCACCGACTGGCAAGTCACTATCCTGAACTTCATGGTTGTCCAGATGATAAACACAATAGATGCTATCAGGAAATGAAAAACCTAGTCAGAGTATGAACGCTGATTTACATTCCCAATTACATACCCAATTATAGTTTAGTGGAATTCCACACGCCCCCTCCCCGAGTACACCACAATTGTTTTATATCAGTAATTTTAACAAATGTATTCAGTACAAATTCACTGAACCTACTAAAAGTAAGGCTCATGATATGTACTAGTCAACCCTCTCTGTACTTGAAGACTAGTTTAATAATGAGTTTGTTTAACCATTTGACTACTTCACTATTGGAGAAGGTATTGAAAATACAGTTTTTTCCTAGTATTCTCAATATAATAGTTTGCTTCTTTTATCCTGAATAAATTTTTTAAATATTTATTTATTTATTCATTCATTCCTTCATTTTAATTTGACAGAGAGAGAGAGAGAGGAAAGTGAGAAAGCAAGTCACCAGGTCCAGGACTTGAACCGTGGTCAGCCATGTGGGAATGTCCAGCACCTTAACCACCATGCCACCTGCTGGTCCCAACTGTGAATAAATTAATGCTAATTTTTCTTTGGCTGGTCCAATGGAAGTTAAAAAAAAAAAAAAAAAAAAGAAGCTGATCAAATGATAACAACCACAAGAGAAGAGCAGGTTCCAATTACAGGTCTGACTTCATTATTCCAGGTTAAAAGGGCCAAGAGGTAGGGAAATCAGCCTAGTTTGGTTATAGTCTATACTTTATATATGCTTGGGAAACCTATGTAAAAGCACTACAATAGTAAGGTATCCTAATCTAAAATTCTATAACTATTTAATAAAAGCAAATAGGGGCCAGCTGGTGGCATGGTGGTTAAGACACTGAACTCCCACATGGCCAACTGCAGTTCGTGTCCCAGTCCTGGCGGCTTACTTTCTCACTTTCATTTGCTCTTTCTATGAGTGTACCTGCCCTACAGCAAATTTTAAAATAACAATAATGATAAATGATTCTTTAAAAAATAAACAAAAGCAAACAAAAGGTAAAGCATTCTAAAAGGAATCTACATGCTATCTGGTACTCAAGGTAACTTGCTTGAAGAAAAAGAATGCCTCAGATAAAGAATAGAGTTGGGATAGGGATATATCCTAAGAACTACAATTATATGAGGTTGATTTTCAGTTATAATACCTAACATAATTTGTTCCTAAGCTCTCTTAAAATCAGAGATCCTTTAAGAGTTTATATGAGCTAAGAACCCTTTCCCCAAGAAAAATATAAAAACTTCCTATGTCCTCCTATGACTTTCTCAGGCTGAGAATCTCTGTTCTGAAAGGATCACATTTTAATAGCAGAAAGAAAGTCCCAGACTTACCTGCCACTGCCAAAATAAGCGTATTGGTGAAATGCCGGTACAAAGAGAGTTTTACAATATTCCGCCGAAGTTTTAATAGCTTCATTGTTTGAGTCAAGCTAATAAATATGTGTTTGCAGGTCAAGGAATTCAACATTCAGAGAAAAACAGTAAGCTAATACATTACTCCTTGGGTTTCTTGAGGATCTAGGCTCCTACTGATAAAATTATGGTCTCATAGGCCTTACAACACTATGATTCTCATTTAATCTCACAAACATCTTAAGCATCATCAGGATTACCAAGAAAGTCATCATTTCAATGAAAAATGGAAGAGAAGACAGAATCAGAATAAAATAAGAATGCGAATAAGAAAATATAAAAAAGAGAAACAAAGACAGGAAGAGGCTTTCTAGAGAAACAAACAAAAAATATGAAAAAGAATAGATGAATGGAAGGAGACGAAATGAACATGAGTAACAGGCAAGGAACAAGGAGGTGATATCATTTTCTCTTTCTCTTTAAGGTGAAAAACTCGGTTCTCATCTGCCCCAGCTAATCCAGTCTAGTCATAATTACACTTAAGCCTATAACCTCCCAGAGATCTACACTCAGTCCCCTTGCATCCCAGGGAATGTGCCATTGGCTCCTATACTCCCTGAATTAAAAACACTCTACAATTGGTGAGAATCCTAGGCAGTTAAGCTCCAAAACCAACTCTCCCGTTTTCAGAATAGTATTTCCAAAAAGAAGTAACCAGAGGATAGGAAAGGATAGGATAATATCTGCTCTCATAGCCAGCTTTCACAATAAGGAGCAGATATAAAAATAAGGGATTTGGAGCTTGCTGTGCCCTTTGAGGTTGCCTTAGCTGTTACCTAGTCACCACTGAATGAATGATCCAGTCCCACCTCCCTCTGAGCTCCTCCCAATACTCATAGAGATTCACAAAACACACTTGGAAAGATACTGATCTACAAAAGCTGTGGCCATCTGGACCCAGGTCACTTCAATTTCAAACTTTTTTGGTACATAGAAATCCACTCAAATTCACGAAAACATGATTTTGTTTACATTCAGCTTTTTTGCAACAGTTACAATCTACTGAGACAGTAATATTGCACGATTGCACACAGGACTGAAATATATAAAAAAAAAAAAATTTTTTTAAGATTTTTTTTTTAACTCCATAGAGTCTAAAGACCTGAATCCTTCATCAAACAGGCCAAACCCCTAATAAACAAATGTTTCATTTTAAAGAGCAAGAAAAAAAAGACTACACAAAGAGACACTTGTTATCTGCCGGATGACTCTGCCTGTGAGTCAGCATTTATTCTGAAGGGTGGAAATCTTCATACAAACCTAAATCAACTTGTGAATGATGGAACAAAGCACTCACCCTTTAAGGGTTAAAACCTGCTAAACCTACAAAGATGAGCCAAACTACCTTATGTGGTCCTTGAAACCATTTTAAGGATCAAAATTTTACAGTAAGTTTCGAAACACTTAATTCTAGAGGCTAAAAGAAAGAGCACGACAGAACAATCACTGATTCTAACACTAAGTGTTATACACATATAATAAATCCAAAATCAAGGTGAAATATTCACTTTAAAAAAAAAAAAGCCAGCCTTTTATTTTGCATTCAGTTCCCAGTCACCAACTTCTGGTGTTATTTTTAAAATTTTTAAAAAATAAAAATCTGCTTACCTGAACCCTCAGGTTGTTAAGATTTAAAATACACTATTTCCCAGACTAAGGAGTAACCAACAAAAGTGGTAAAAACTCCTTGCAGAAAGATCAATGGAAACCCATCTCCAAGGGAAGAACATGGCCGGCCATCAAAACAAGCCAATGAGAAGGATATCCACCAGCACAGGGCAGTGTCTAGGAAAGCCAAGGGGATAAAGGCCAAGGAAGCAAGATCAGTCTGGGCCTGCAGACAAAGAAAAAGAGGTGGTGAAAAACAGATGTCTAGAGAGGCAGAGGAGAAACCAGCACAGTTCTGCATTTATATAATCACCTGGAAGGGTTTTGCAATTGAACTGAAAGATCTAATCATTCTTTCCTTCTAACAAACAAACCATTACCAAGAACATTTCAACTATAAGCGTTTCACACAGGTTTGTGGATTACAATCTCAACACATGAAACCTGCTGCTAACTATGATAGAGGCAACTACCACAGAGTTCCTAGCGTATAAGAATCATCTTGAGAAATGACCGTATCAAGAGAGTTCCAGTGTTTACAAGCCTCCAATCTATCCTATCATTTCCTATATTATAAATTAGGATACAAGTCTAAAAAATACTTAAAAAAATAAATTACTGTTTCAATAACAAAGAATTACTGATTCCCAGAACTGTAATGTAATGGAATTTTACAAACAAGAACTCAGCCAAAAAATAAAACGTAACACAATTGTATGTCCCCAAAACTATGCTGCTTATTTCCCTAAGTTTGTATATTATATCAGATGTTTTTTATATAACCCTAATGATACAATACCCAGGGCATTACTGAAAGGATATCCATAAGATAATACAGGCATCAATTGCTGAGAGGGCCAGGCTTACTAGAAGAGCTGAGGAATAAGAAAAATACTGCAGCAGCAGCAGCAGCAGCAGAAGAAAGAAAATGAAATCGACAGAGAGTTAGTTGCTAAAAGTCTAAGGAAATTACATAGAGGACAGTGTAATTTGAAAAATAAATGTGCTCCTATAAAGTGTGTGCAAGTGGCAATTTACTGCAAAACTCGCTGGGCCCAGTTTTCTTTTTTTTGAGAGGTTTTTGCTATAGGGCATGTGCGCTTATCAGAAAGACAGAGACAGAGAGATAGGAGGTGAGAAATCCCCACCCAGGGGAACTGGCCATGCCACAATCCCTTCTCCTCCATTCTCCTCTCAGGATCTTGGGCACACACGCATACGCGCCTGGTCTGAGTTTAAGCCAACGGGTCCGGGACTCAAACCGTGGTCGGCTACATGGGAGTTCAGCGACAGAGCCATTACACTAACTGCTGGTACCAAGGGCCCAGTTTTCTTGAGGGTGAAACTAAATTTTTTAGCATTTACCATCTTGAATCTAATAGGCTATCACAGAGCCTAATTTTTTTTAAGGTTTTTGCCATAGGGTACATGCACTCACCAGAGGGAGGGAGACAGACAGACAGTGAAAGAGAAGGTGAGAAATCACCCTCCAGGGGGATGGCCATGCTGCAATCCCATCTCTTCCACTCTCCTGAGATTTTGGGCACACACATACATGTGCCCAGTGTGATTTTTCAGGCCACTGGGTCCAGGACTCAGACTGTTGTCAGCCATATGGGAGTATAGTGCCTTAACCACCATGTCACCTGCTGGCCCCCAGTCTGATTTTTAAATAAAGAAAGAAAATAAATGGAAGGCCCCGATAGGGCTATTCTGCACATTAATCCAGCTCTACACATAAATTTCTTTATCACTTAGATTTTTGGCTTCCTTCCCTGACAAAAGGAACAGTTAAATAATTTAACTGTGGTGAGGAACCTAACTGGCTGTACTTTAAGGAAGCCTTTGAAACTCAAGTGCTGACTAAGCAAAAAGCAGCATTAATTCAGAACAGGTCAACCAGAAAGTACATGATTCCATTATTTGCTACTTATACAGGAATGAGAATCCACTGCCTGGAAGGAGGAACTAAATAATTATCAATCTTGGAAAAACTATTCATTCTAGTCACACATTAAATATACAAAGCCCTAAGAAATTAAAAAGGGGGAAAAACTGCGGCTTATTCCTAGCCTGGTAGTTACAGGGATCAATAAAGAAGCCCATGGATGTCTCCAATTCACTCTCTCAAGACAGAACCAATATAACTTAACTGACCACAAAAATTCAAATTAGTTACTAACCCCGGTAACTCTGAGAACCCCCTCCATGCCAGAGAACAAAAGATAGAGTGCTCCTGCAACCACGACTTTATGAAGGGTGACTCCAAGGCGAGGCCTAAAGAGGAAGCAAAGAGCTGTATTGAGTACAAATGTGACAAACCACAAGACAAGTGAAGTAAAAAGAACCTGTTCATTAATACAAGCCAACAATTTAAAGTGGTAGCACACTGTTGATTTACTGGAGAAAAAAATACATACAAGCATAAGATCTTAAAACAAGAAAGAGGGGCCAACAGATGGTGTAGTAGTTACATCACTGGACCCCCACATGATGGTGAGCCGCACTTTGAGACTTAGACCCGATGGCTTGAAAATATGCTGGATGTATGTGTGGGCATGCCCAAGATCTTGGAAAGAAAAAGGAGAAGGGAATGTGGCATGGCCGCCCCTCCTCAGGAGGGTGATTTCTCACTTTTCCTCTCACTGTGTCTTTCTGTCTCTCTCCCCTCCTCAGGAGGGTGATTTCTCACTTTTCCTCTCACTGTGTCTTTCTGTCTCTCTCCAGCGAGTGCACGTGCAAAAGGCAAAAACCTCTTTAAAAAAATTTTTGAACTTATGATCTGGTTCCTGAATTTTAAAAAACTTATTATACAATAAAAGTTCTAAGGAGGAAAACAGGTGGCACAGAGGTTAAGGTGCTGGACTCCCACATGGCTGACCCAGGTGTGAGTTCTGGACCCAGCAGCTTGAAAATTAAGACAGAGCCTGTGCATGTGTTCCCAAAATTCCAGGAGAATAGAGAAGAAAGGACTGCAACATGGCCATCCTCTCCCAGAGGATGATTTCTTTTTTATTTTTGGAGAGGTTTTCGCTATAGGGCACGTGCGCTTGCCAGACAGAGAGAGAGAGACATAGAGACAGAAAGTGAGAAATCACCCCCCAGAGGGGATGGTCACGCCGCAATCCCTTCTCCTCCATTCTCCTCTCGGGATCTTGGGCACATACGCACACGTGCCCGGTGTGAGTTTTAAGTCACTGGGTCTGGGATGCGAACTGCAGTCGACTACATGGGAATCCAGCAACATAGCCATTACGCTAACTGCTGGTTCCCAAGAGGATGATTTCTTAACTTCTCTCTCTCTCTCTCTCTCTCTCTCTCTCTCTCTCTCTGGTTAAGCACATGCACCCTATGGCAAAAACGAACAAAAAAGGGGCCAGCATGTGGCAGAGTAGTTAAGGGCACTAAACTCCCACCTGGCCAACTGCGGTTCAAGTCCTGGACCTGGCGGCTTGCTTTTTCACTTTCACTGTCTCTCTCTCTCACTGTTCCTCTCTGGTCAAAATAAATCAAGGTAAATAGAATAATTCTTAAAAAAAAAAAAAAAAAGAAAGAAATAAAAGTTCTATGGGTTTCAAAGTCATCTTTGAAGCTTATTCAAAAATAGTAAAATAAACTCCTAAACCAGTTCCAACAACCAATGACCTATGGCCAATTCTGCCCTAGACATATCCTATTAATGTCCCACCCTTCCATATTATCTTAAAGCAAATCTTAAACATCCTATCTTTTTATCTGCATATATTTCAGTAAGTGTTTTTAATAAAGACTTTTTTTACTGAGAGATTTTTTTGTTTTTTTGTTTTGTTTTGTTTTTGCTGTAGAACGTGTGCGCTCACCAGAAACACAGAGACAGACAGAGAGACAGAAAGCGAGATATCACCACCCCCCCAGGGGGGATGGCCACATCGCAATCCCTTCTCCATCCTCCTCTCGGGATCTTGGGCATGCATGCACACGTGCCCAGCGTGAGTTTAAGCCACCAGGTACGGGACTTGAACCACGGTCGACTACATAGGAGTCCAGCGACATAGCCATTACGCTAACTGCTGGTCCCATAGATAAAGACTTTTTAAAAACATAATCAAATCTAAATTTTTAAATTTGCAATATGGCACATGCACTCACCAAGAAAAGAGACAGACAGAGAGAAAGAAAGTGAGAAAGCATCCCTCGGGAGGGATGGCCACCTGCTATCCCTTCTCCTCCATTGCCCTCTCCGGGTCTGCGGCATACATGCATGCACACATCCCTGGTGTATTTTTCAAGCTGCTGGGTCAGGAACTCAAACTGCATAATCAGCCATATGGGGTCCAGCCACTTTAACCACTACGCCACCACCTGGCCCTCAGATCTAAAAATTTTAATGATTCTTCAATATAATCAAATACCCCATGCAGTTCATTCAATATGTTTGCAAGCGCAAAAAAAAAGTCTTTTGAGCAGAATGTTTGAAGAGGAAAAGCCTTAGATCCTTAATATTCAAAATCTTTGAATCAGAGTCTGTATTTTAATAAAATCCCCAAGTAATTCGTTAGTACATTGTAATCTGATGCACTGCCTTAAATCACATACACCTAAGTCTTAGCAATATTTGTTCTTATATGTTTTTTTCAAATTGCCAGAGGACAAGTATACTCTCCAGGGACAGAGAGAGGGAGAAAGCACTCTAAAGGGATGTGATCGCACTGCAATCCCACCTCTTCCATTTCTCCCATCTACTGGGATTTTGCACATGCAGGCATGCTTTTCAAGCTGCCAGAGCTGGGATTAGAACTGTCACCAGCCATGTAGGATTTGGTTCCCTTAACCATTAGGTTATAGGCTGACTCAACTCTTAATTATTTATTTTTTTATGATACACTAGTAAAAGTTACATTAAAGGAAGGGAATTTCCTCCCTGCTGATATATTTTAGAAACCTGAATCACCTCCTGGCAAATAGGAGGCACTCAGTATTTATTAAATGACTAAACAGATTTTAAGAATTATAACTCATCCCCTAGGCCAGTTCATGGCCTGGTGGTTGTGGCAGCTGGATCCCACACAGAACTATATGGTTTGAGTCCCAAACCCAAGAGCTTGAGAAACATGCCAGGTGCATGTGCGTGAGTAACCCAAATCTCAAAGAGACTAAGACATGGAGAAGGGACTACAGTGTAACCATTCCCCATGGGGGGTACTTTCTCCTTTTCCTCTCTGTCTCATGCAAGGATCCTCTAGTTAAAAAAAAAAAAAAAAAAAAAAAAAAAAAGCCCACCTCTAATACTATTTAAAGCAAAATCCCCTGAAATAACTATCTATTCTATACCTAATTCTCATTTCCCTCTTCCTGTTCTCTCTTGATTCCCTGAGACTAGGGTTTTGTCTAAGGCTCCACCAGAACTATTATTGTTATGGTGTATGCTTTGATGTCATTTGATCCTTGCAAATTTTCCTGCAAATGTTCCTTGGTTTCTAAGAAGTGAAATGAAATAACAACATTTTCCCAAGATTTACAGTGCTGCAAAATTTAAGGTTTTCTTGTTTTGTTTGTTTTGTTTTTAATGTGATTTCAGAACTACTATACTGGGAACTTGAAATATTCTTTCAATTTAACTGACATTTCAATCTGCTCTTCCATATAAGAGGCCAATACTTACTTGACTATGCCATACCCAAGACTGACTATGATGACCAGAGTTCGAGCCAGTGAGCGTTTCACTGCTGAAAGCAGCTCTGCAAGGATCAAGGCACCCTGGACTATGAGAAATAAAAAAGGGAGAAACAGCTCCATAAAACAAGGCTTGGCAAAAGGCTTATTTCCAGAACCAGAATGTGTATCTCCAACACTCTTCAGAATAAGCACTGCTATTAGTCTAACTAAAAAAAGAATACCATTTCCACAATTTTTTACAAGAACACAAGCTGATATCACTTACAATCTTACTCACGTCTGTAACAATCTGGGTATGTTCAACTCACCTTCCTTCCGTATCTACCCTCAACCTCACCAAAACCGTAAGAGAATATCTCACCTTATATGGATAATTTACAGCATTAAGGGAACTACCTCTCCCCCCATTTTCAAAAATAGTGAAATGCAGCTCTATATAGAAAGGCAAAAAATCCATACATATGCATGTGTGAGTGCACATATTGTTCTCAATTTGTTTTTATAGCTACTGTTTTCAAGCCTTTCAAAGACTAAGAAAGATCTAATTAGTTTATCTTGCAGGAATTATTACTGACAGTCAAAAGGTAACATGAGAGAGAACTAAAGCACTCACAAAAAACTTCCATATAAAATTATTTCTGCTATTACCAGCTTGCTTTACTAAATCATAAGCAATCCTATTTTCTTGGTATTACAATATTTTATTAATTTTCAAATGCACTTCCCCCTATATTTTAGGATCTTTAAAATTAAGATGTATCTTATAATTAATGGCACCTTATAATTCAACTGGCATTGTTTATTTTTTGTATTAGTTAGATGTATATAATAACAGTGCCTTAGAAATCAATGGCAACTGAGATTTGATTATGGCAATAATCATCCCCCAAATGACCACTACCATTCTAAGTTTTAAAAACATATTTTAGTAAATGTACTCTTATATCACTGAACTCCAAAGTTATGAGATTAAAAACAAAAATCATAATTACAGTGATTCTACTGAAATTATCCTAAATAATTAAGTAATTAAAAAGTTAGACTTATTTAATAATTGTTGACTTTAGGCAAGTTTTCACGCATCTCACTCAAACTGGCAAACATTTTTCGGTTACATACCAGATTCTCCTTTATATCGAATATTCTGAAATTCAGCATAGAAGACAGCTTTCTCAAGCATTCCCAGAAAGATGACAGCACCAATCCAAAACTGAATTCTCAGAAGATCTCTCCAGTAGCAGGCAGACCATGCCAGCCACAGAACACCAAACAGGACGTATACAATACACATCACCATGAAAAACTGTCATCCAATTAGGTAAAAGAGAAAAAGGAGTGTTAGAGGCAAGAGCCAAGTGCCTAGATTTAGAATCAAAATATAGCATTTTAAAAGTACAAAAGTATATATATTCTGCCTTCTACTTAAGAAATAATTTTTTTTTGAGCTTAATACTAACACAAAAGAATGATCTCCACTTAGGCAGAGGGAGACTACCTGGAGACTGATCCTCAAGAGTTAACTGCTCTACTGTATTAAAAGCACTTTCTCAGCTCACAATTTAACATAACCTAAATGAATATAACACTAAATAAGCAAAAAGGCACGATAGGCTGAAGATACATCTAGAAGCAATGGGAAACAAAATGGAGAAACTATTAAAGAAAAGGAAGAACAGAATAATCATGAATGAAGTCTGAAAACAGATTGAGGATATTCTCAAACACCCACATGCAAGCACACACACATTAAAGAGGAGAAAGCTTCATAATTTAGTTATTGTAAGTGGGATCAGAAGCTAAATTGTTGTAGTAAGAAGTGCCTGCTTTGAGTCCAAGAGAAAATGTGAGATATTGGATGACTGATCTTTGAGGTACCTCCTGAATCTAAAATAAGTCACTGACCCCCCTAATTTTACAGTTAAAAATGAGGCGCATGGCTATGATGACTCATGCAAGGTCATAGCTAATAAGTATTGGGTTGTGAGAAAAGATGTATTTTTTTCTATATGTTTCTATGCAAAAATGCATCATGGAGACTAGCAGCTGTGTAATGGCTATGTTGCTGGACTCCTATGTAGTCGACCGCTATTCAAGTCCCGGACCTGGTAGCTTAAACTCACACCGGGCGCATGTGCATGCGTGCCCAAGATCCCAAGAGGAGAATGGAGGAGAAGGGATTGCGGCGTGGCCATCACCCCTGGGGGGTGATTTCTTGCTTTCTGTCTCTCTGTCTCTGTCTTTCTGGCAAGCGCATGCGCCCTACAGCAAAAATCTGTCCAAAAAAAAGTTTCATGGCTTTTCCAACAACCCAATACATCCTAAACTACAAGCGACATGTGTTGAATTGTGCAGGACCAATTCTTAAAAAAGGACATTGCCACAAAACATATACAATCTTTCAAGCTAAACTCATGGAATGCTGCACTTAAAGAATGTAAGTTCACTTACAATCATCAATGGATAGTCTTCAAGAGTGAGGTATTCATAGGGACCTTTCACTTCAACGGTCACTGCCAAAACACAGTCCTCAGAATTAATTAAAGAATACAAAAATTATATAAAACCATTGTCTGAGATTTGATAACATTAATAAAAGTTTACTGGGGTCATTTACTTCTAACTTCCCACCTCACAAATACATAATATGTGTGTAGCATTTTGAAGTTCTCCAAGTTCTCCATAGTTAGTGCCCTACACACTGGGTTCCATGCCTCTGTAAAGCCGGAAAATCCTTTTGTTCCCATACTCACATCCTTTGAAGAACAGACTGAATATTTCCTCCCCCTCTAGGATACCCATCTGGAACTACTCCCCATCTCCTCTAAATTCTAAACAAATTTCATATACCTTTTATTAAAACACATCACCAATATGCTTTATAGAACTTCCTTTCCTCATTCTGCCACCTTCTTGGTTTTCTATGCCTCTTTACCTACAGTTCCTAGACTCTACAATTTTCATACTATTTATTTATTTATTTTTCACTAATGTCAACTTCATGTGATCTTGGCATATTAATACATCATTTTCAGAATGAAGTAAGGTATCAAAAAAAAAAAAAAAATCTGATCCAGCCACAGTGGTACACATGTACCATCATCATTTGGGAGGCCAGAAGCCACATGAGAGGCACAGGTTTAGTTCCCAGGCCATCCTGACACAATGGGCACAGCCATACCTATTATCTTAGCTAAAGTAGGAGATAAAAGACAGGAGGTTCAATACACAGCAAGATTCCCTCACAAGTAGCTACCTCTGGAGGTCAGAAGGTGGCATGGTGGTTAAGGCATCAGACTCCCACATGGCCAACCATGGTTCAAGTCCTGGACCTCAAGGCTTGAAAATCACACTGGGCACATGTACATGCATGCCCCATGATCCTGGGAGGAGAATGAGGGAGAAGAGATTGCGGCATGTCCATCTTTCCTAGAGGAAGACTTTCCCTCTCTCTGTCACTGTCTCTCTCCAGTGAACACACAGGAGGATCAAAACACTGCAAGATTCTCTTAGAAATAGGTATCTCAGGCCAGCAGGTGGTGTGATGGTTGGGGCACTGGATTCCCCCATGGCCGACTGTGGTTCAAGTCCAGAACTTGGTGGCTTGAAAATCACAACAAACAAATAAATGTTTAAAAAAAAAAAATTAGATATTTTTGGGCTGGCAGGCAGTATTAAGGTACTAGATTCCCACGTGTCCTACCTCAGTTCAAGTCCTAGACCTGGTGACTTGCTTTCTCATGTTCCCTCTCTTCCTGTCTCTCTCTCTTTCTTGCTGGTCAAATTAAAAAATTAATAATAACGACAAACAGGGACCAGCAGATGGCGTAATGGTTAAGTTGCTGGACTCCCACATGGCTTACTACAGTTCAAGTCGTGGACCTGGTGGCTTCAAGTTCATGCTGTGCATGTGAACATGCATGCCCAAGATCCTGAAAGGAGAATGGAGGAGAAGAGATTGTAGCATGGCCATCTCCACTGAGGGGTCATTTTTCGCTGTCTTTCTATTACTCTCTGTCTCTTCAACGAGCACACATGCCCTATAGCAAAAATCTCTCTCTAAAAATAGTAATAACAGCAAAGCAAATTAAACAAATAATAATCCTTCAAAATAAAAGAAGAAATTGATATCTCTGGGGGGTCAGCAATAGTGGAAAAAGTGATAGTATCATGAATGTAAAAGACAGATTTGCTTTAATGAAGCAAACCTACTATCTTAAGATTGTCTGTAACGGATAAAACTATTTTTAGATTATAAGAAAAGGAGGGGCCAGCAGGTGGCATGGTGGTTAAGGGCACTGGAGTCCCACATGGCTGACTGTGGTTCGAGTCCACGACCTGGTAGCTTACTTCGAGTCCCAGACCTGGTAGCTTACTTTCTCACATTCCCTCTCTCTCTCTCACTGTCCCTCTCTGGTCAAATTAAAAAAATAAATAAATAAGTAAAGTTAAATAAAATAATTCTTAAAAAAAAAAAAAGAAATTATAGGCCAATCATACTGTGAATAAAGACAAATTTGATAAGCTATTAGCAAATAGAACCCTGCAATGTTTGCATACACATATGAGATTGTGTGTGTATATTAAAGTCAAGTAGTGGTATTCCAGACTAGTTAATAAAATGTACCACATTAACATATTAGATAATAAAGCCAGGGAACCAGCAGTTAGCGTAATGGCTATGTCGCTGGACTCCCACATAGTCGACCACGGTTCGTATCCCGGACCCGGTGGCTTAAAACTCACACGGGGCGTGTGTGCATGCGTGCCCAAGATCCCGAGAGGAGAATGGAGGAGAAGGGATTGCGGCGTGACCATTCCCCCTGGGGGGTGATTTCTTGCTTTCTGTCTCTATGTCTCTCTCTGTCTGTCTGGCAAACGCACGTGCCCTATAGCGAAAACCTCTCCAAAAAAATAAATAAATAAGAAAGCCAAAGCCTAATATGATCATTTTAGTTCATGTAAACAAACCATTTGATCAAACTGAGCGTTCACTCTTAAAATTAAAAAAAAATTTTGAATTAAAAAAATTAAAAATCTCTTAGTAAAGTAGGTATACAAAGGAACATCCTTAACCAAATAAAGAATATTTATTTTAGGGCCAGCCCCATGTCCTAGTGATTAAAACAGCCAGTTCCCACAGAGCCGACAATGGTTCAAGTCCCTGTCCCAGTAGCCTGAAAATCACACTGGGCATGTATGTACACATTCCCAAAATCTTGACAGGATGGACAAATGGAGAAGGGATTGTGGCATGACCATTCCACATGAGGGGTGTTCTCTCCCTCTTCCTGTCTCTCAATCTCTCTCTGGAAAGTACACATACTATCAAAAATTTTTTAAAAAAAGAAAAAAAAAAAAAGAAAGAAATGACGGAGAAATGACTACACTGTGTCCGTGCCCCATTGGAGGGTACTTTCTCCAGGCTCTTTCTAGAATGTGCATGTGCCCTCTGGAAATAAAAATAAAAGAATATTTTGAATAATCTACAGTAAACATCATGCTTAACAGTGAAATGTATCAATATTGCCAGTAAAGTCAGTCGTAAGGTAAGGATGTCTGCCATTCTGGTTTCTACTCAATGTTCTACTTAAGAAGGTAAATTAGGGAAGAGAACCACAAAGCAGACAGAAGAAATAAAAAAGGAAACCACAGAAAATAAGACCAGTTAGGAAGTTATTGCAAAATTCCAAGTAAGAGAAGATGACTTCATGAACTACACAGCACTAGTGGAAAAGAGAACACTTGAGAAAAATTCTTCAGACATGAAAAATTACCAGTGAAATTTAAGATTTCCAAGTAACCAAGTGTTTAAAAATCCTAGTTCAGTACTGAGATAAGTACTAATTATAAACTTAAAAAGAGGGTCAAGTGAAGGAAAATTAAAAACAGTATCTGCTGAGCCAGCAGATGCCATAATGGTTACAACACTGTACTCTCATGTAGTCAACGGCAGTTAGAGTCCCAGACCTGGTGGCTTAAAATCACACTAGGTACATGTGCACATGTGCCCAAGAGCCTGAAAGGAGAATGGAAGAGAAGGGACTGCAGCGTGGCCATCTTCTCATTTTCTGTCATTCTGTCTCTCTGGCGAGCACATGTGCCCTATAGCAAAAATCTCTCTAAAAAAATAGTATCTGTAAATTCTAGTAAAAAGGTTTATGCAGAGTCAAGTACTGTGCCTGGTAATACTGGGTATAAAGCAATGTCGATTTCTCTCCTCCAATTTTTCCATTTTGAAACATTCTTAAATTATTCTTTCACTTAAAGTAATTTTATATGATATACCATGCATGACACAACTAGATAATAATACAAATACTAAGAAGAAATGAATTGAACTTACTGGTAAAAAGATTACTTTGTGAGCTTTCCTTTGATGAGTCCTTAGACGATGAAATGCCAACATGTACAATAAAAATGTACGGTGCATCTTGCCAAGTTTGCAATGGTTCGTGCAGTGCCTAGGGAGGGAAAAGGCATCATCAGACTTTCAAATCTTAAGAATTAGGAGCAAAGAGCCAACAGGTGGCTTGGTAGTTAAGGTACTAGACCCCTACATGGCCAACAGCAGTTCAAATCCCAGATCTGGCTGCTTGAGAACCACACTGGGGGGAGAAGGGGGGGGGTTAAACAGGTGGCACTGTGGTTAAGGCACTGGACTCCCACATGACCAAACACAGTTTGAGTCCTGGACCTGGCAGCTTGAAAACAATCCATGATACAAATTCAAAATGTCAAAGTAGATTAAGATTTTTGGAGACCAGCAGATGGAGTACTGGTTGCACTGCTGGACTCCCACACGGCCAACCATGGTTCAAGTCCCCAACCCAGTGGCTTCAAACTCATACCAGGCACATGTGTGCACATGCCCAGGATCCCAGGAAGAGAATAGGGCAGAACAGATTGTGGTGTGGCCATCCCTCCTGAGGGGTGATTTCTTGTTATCTGTCTGTCTCTCTGGCAAACGCACACGCCCTATAACAAAAATCTCTCCTAAAAAAAAGATTAAACGATTCTTCAGCTATACATTAGTAGGTCATCTCAGTAACTTAATTCAAATTAGGGGAGCCAGCAGATAAGAGTTGCAGTTGCATCACCAAACTCCCACATGGCCGACCACAGTTGGAATTGGTGGCTTTAAACTCACACTGGGTGCATGTGCATGTGTACTCAAGATCCTAAGAAGAGAATGGAGAGAAGACTGTGGCATAGCCATTGCCCCTGAGGGGGTGATTTCTCACTTTCCCTCTGTCTCTGTCTTTCTTTCTCCAGAAAGCACATGCACCCTAAGGCAAAAACCTCTCAATAAATAAATAAATAAATATATATATATATATATTAGGGCCAGTGGCATGTGGTGATGAAGGCACTGGACCCCCACAAAGCCAACCACGGTTCAAGTCCTAGACGTAGCAGCTTGAAAGTCATGCTGGGCACATGTGCACACATGCCCAGAATCTAGAAAGAAGAGTGGAGAAGGGATTGTGGACTGACCATCTCCGCTAAGGAGGGATTTCTTACTTTCGCTCTCTGTGTCTCCATCTTTCTGGCGAGCGCAAGCACCCTGTAATAAAATCTCCGTTAAAAAAAAAAAAAAAAAAAAATCATGATTAAAAAAAAAAAAAAAAAGGCAGGCCAGCTCTCAGGCAGAGCTGGTATGCTACTCAAGAGAAGCTGGACCTCGTTGGCCTGAAAGTACAGAGCAAAGGCCCAAGTGCCTGAGATGCAATGGGCTGGAGGACCAGAGAAAGGTTCCGTGGCGTGAGCACACTCTGTGGAAGGTGCTGTTTTCTGCCTTTCACATACATGCATACATGCTCTATCATGAATAAAAAAAATACATATATAAATGCCATGTTAAACCATATATTGACATCTCTACCCAACAATGTTTCTCTAACAAGATTTCAGGAGCAGTTTGTAAGAAAATGTTATGGTTTCACAGTTATGGATATTAATATGTTCTATTATTCACAATTACTGACCCTTTTCTTGATTTACTTGTTCATTAGCCAATAAAACTTTTGTTTGGTGTGGTAGTAAAGGTAGCTGGATCTCATATGGTCAACTGCACAGTTTAAGTACCAGACCCACCAGCTTGAAAAATACGCAAGGCATGTGTATGTGTCCCCAATCCCAAGAGGACAATAGCAGAGAAGAGACTACAGCATGGCCAAACTCCCTAAGGGGAGATTCCTCACTTTGTCATTCTCTGGCAAGCATACACACTTTACAGCATAATTTTAAAAAGCCAACCAAAAAATCTCTACTTTGGGACCAGCAGATGGCATAATGGTTACATTGCTGGACTCCTAGTCTCCCACAGTTCGAGTCTTGGACTCGGTGGCTTAAAATACACTGAGCATGTGTGCGTGTGTGCCGAAAATCCTGAGGGGAGAATGGAGAAGGGACTGTGGCATGGCCATCCCCCCACACGGGGGGGGGGGGGGGGTGATTGATTTTTGTCTGTCTCTTGTCTCTCCAGCAAGCGCACACGCCCTACAGCAAAAATATGCCCCCCCCAAAAAACCCCCAAAATACAAACCCTACTTCTTAACATGTATAGATTAATTCTTATACCCTAGGATTTGACAAAGTATATCTGTAACTCTAGAATGTAGAAATTTTGACACAAGTAATCTATGCACTAGGCGCTATTTATGATATTCTTTAATCCTCACAACTCCTCTAACAGGTACTACTAGATCATTTTTTCTAAAAATTGAGGTAAATTTCACATAAAAGTCCTAATTTTGTTTCTTTACTCATGATAGGGCATGTGCATGCACAGTAGATAAGAGACAAAGAGATGGAGAGATGAGTACCCCCAGAGGTTCTGGTCATACCACAATCCTTTTCCTCCAAACCATCAAATCTCAGGCATTCATGAACATGCCCAGCACGATTCAGGCTGACCAGGATGGAGATCCGAACCATCATTGCCATATAGAATCCAGCTTCTCTTGAACAATGCATCATTGCTACACTACAAAGCCAGCCCAAAAGTTCTAATTTTAGTGTAACACAATGGCACGTGGTACGATGGTGTACAATCATCATCTCTAACTCCAAAACATTTTCATCACCCAAAAGAAAGACCTTGTACTCATTAAGCAGCAACTCCTTCTACCTCCCTCCCCACCACTTGCAACACCAATCTAATCCTATTTTTTCAGATTTGTCGGTTACGGACATTTCATACATCAAGAAATGGAATCACAAAATATTTGCTATTTTGTGTCCAGCTCCTTTCCTTTAACATGTTTTTAAGGTTCACTCACACAGCATGCATGGGTACTTCACTCATGTTTATGGACGATATTCGTATTCATTTTATTAAACATGTGAGACTGTTTTTCTTCTTTCCTGCTTGGAGTTTGAACTTTTTGAGTTTATCACTCTTTTTGAAATTCATGCTTTAATCACATTTGGGAAGTTCTGAGCTATTATTTCTTTAAATATTCCTTTCATACCCTTCTCTCCTCCTTCCCTTTGTGTTCCAATTTCCTTTAGTTCTTCATCAATGCTTTCTTTTAGCTCTTTGAGAACATTTAAGGGAGCCCATTTAAAGCCTGTGCTAAGTATAATGCCCGAGTTTTCTCAGAGGCACTTTCTCTTCTTTTCCCCTGTAAATACATCCAGGCATCTTGCATGCTTCTATCTTGTGTCTCTGCATGTCTCAATTTTTCTCTAAAAACTCAATATTCCCCAGATTATATGGCAACTCCAGCAACTATTCTGTCCCCTCCCTGGAGTCTGCTGTAGCTGCTATGTTGCTGCTGTTTTGTTTGCTTGGTAACTACTCTAAATTTGTTATAAAGTCTGTATTTTTTGGTCTTATGCAGCTTTTAGTGTCTGTGTTCCTTAAGCTCAGTGGCTGGTTACTGTTTTGTTTTGTTTTGTTTTGTTTAATTTATTCATTTTCTACATTAATTCACTATACACCATCACAACACACAAATGAATTTTCCATCCAAAATACACTGTGCATTGGCTCAATCAAGCACATGCTGGTTACTGTTTTGACAAAGATTTCCTCTCACAATAGGAGCCAAAAAGGAAAAAACAAACAAACAAAAAAAACTTTCCCAATATTCACAGGTTAGGGCAATCCCTCAACACTTAGATTGGTCCATCAGAGCCCTGGCTTAGTCTTCAATTTCTGCTTGTAAAGAGCCTGAAAGTCAGCCAGAGTAAAAGCTTAGCGTCGTCTAAGGTCTTCTCTGAGCACGTGTCCATTCCTGAACACGAGGACAGCTTTCTCAATCCCCCAGTATACACAGGCACTTTTAAAAGCCCTTATTCTCCCACATATCTCCTTTCCAGATCTTTTCCTTCACAGCTTTGCAGACTTTCTACTGCTTGTCCCCAATATGATCCTTTTCTCTGTGACAATGCAATCAGTACTGCACTGTCAAATATTTTTGGCAACCAGGAGGCCACCTCAGCTTCAGGAACTCTCTGAATCAGGCAAAACAAAGGTTAAGTCCTTATACTAGGCCACAGGGGAACTGCCAGACAGATCAAAACACACAAGCACAATTCTCTAAGAATAAGGTCCATGCAGTCCCTCTGGCACTAGCAACCTGTCTTAAGGCTGCCATCTTCCTGTCTCTGATCTGGGAAGTAGGAGTGGTAAGCAGGCAATTTAAAATATCACAGTTTCTTTCCTCATTAGGCTCTTTCCTAGCTATTTTAAGTCTTTACTGGACTCCAAAGTACCATGAAAGGTGAATGTGACAGTTTTTTGCCAGCTTTTAAGTTACTTTTGTGGAGGAAGGGATACCTGGACTTCCCTACTCTACAATTCCTGGTGATGTCTTTCCTTAGGCCTGGCTCCATTTTTTAATTTTTTTTTTAAGGTTTTTGCCATAGGGTGTGTGCACGTACCAGAGAGAGAAGGAAAGTGAGAACTCACCCCCCCCCCCATGGGGAATGGACATGCCACAATCCCTTCTCCTCCATTCTCCTCCTGGGCTCATGGGCATACACACATGCCTGGCATCATTTTGAAGCCACTGGGTCCAGGACTTGAACTGTGGTCAGCTATGTGGGAGTTCAGTGACGTAACCACTACACCATCTGCTGGTCCCCCCTACTGGCTCCACTTGACCATGTTAAGAAACTGAGATGCAAGAGAACAATTTTTCCAAGGAAGTATTATATCATAGAATTAGAATATGAAAATTAAGAGAATTGACTCTAGAAGTCTGTCTTTTTAAATACCACCGTAACTTCTAATTATTTCTTCCTTAACAGTCTTGCATCATTTAACATCAGAGATGCATTCTGAGAAATCCATCATTAGGCAGTTTGTTGTACAAACATCACACTTAAATAAACCTAGGTGGAATACACTGTAACATACCCAGGTTATATAATACTTTTTAAAATCTTTTTTTATGGATGGGATCTTAATATGTTGCTAACCTCCTGCCTCAACCTCCCGAGGGTATGACAG